TTCTTCCTCTCTCCTTCCCTTAATTGTCAACAATCTTTTTGGCTTCTTCTGTTTTGAAAATGCAAACGTCTCTCAGGTTTAAAATAGTTATGACATTGGGGTTTTTCCTTACTTGGAAACTGTACAAGTCTTTAAACCAAAAGAAGAAAAAAGTGACAGGCTTTTAAAAAGTCCCTAACAAACCATTCTTTGACAAGAAGCAATCTTCCCAGCCATCGAACTTGTGCATGTTTGTGTAGTATGTTGAGCCACATGAAATTGCCCATATTTGGCTATTTTCAGCCTACTGAACAATTACATGGATCAATCTGGTATATCCACAGTCTATTTCTGTAATTTAAAGGCCAATGGGTAGAAGGCTAATGCATAGATATCATGTATGGATTATGCCTGTTTTAGTTGTTAAAAAAAATTATCTGAATGATTAGATTAGATTGAAGATGGACGAATGCTTGTAGAGAATAAAAGAAAGATAAAAATAACTGTATAAATTGTCTAACACTTATCAGAGAGTGTGCTAGCCTAGCTCTGTGTATACTGCAGGTTAAACTGTTGCAACACTTTCCCCTGTTGTATCCTGAAAGAATCCCGGTTATGTAAGAGTTTAATTCAGATTACTGATTTTTGTCTTCAGAATGAATGAAATGATAGCCAATCCTTTTCTCCATGTAGAATGAAGATATACTTAATACTGGATGAAAAATTCACTTTACCAGGGCTGAAACTTGAGACTGCCAGGCTAGGAGTTTTTGGCTTTGTTTATAACTCATTCAAAAGAACAAATTAATGATTTTCATTACATTGCAAATCTAATATACTCAGCACTGTTCAAAGCGCTCTTTTAGAGATATGTGAAAGAAACAAATAGAAAAGTTAATGGACTTGAATGCAATTGGATAAATGTTTCAGCCATCAAAGTATTTTTGCTGAATGCCTTGTTCCAGGCAGGCTGTTAGGTGGTGAAGCGGGTATAAGGAATAGTTGCAAGTTTCTTTTAAGGAACTTAAAGTTTACTAGAGGCAACAGAAGTGTTCATAAGTGTTAAAGAAGGCAGAAAAGAAGTGCACTGTGTAGGTTCAATGAAAGTGTCTGCATCATAATACCGGCTAGGAAACATTCTGTTAGGGATTGTTATTAGTTGCTATCTGATTATTACCTTCATTGGAATTTAAGCAGTATTACAGTTGACAGGTATTTTAAGTATATTTCTTGGTCTACTCAGAAGAGGTGTAACCTCACAGGTCAGGATTTAATAGAGTGAACAGAAAAATAAGTGGTGGTATATAACAGATATGTTCAGCCTCAGAGTTGTCAATACACTGGGAAGTTTTGCTAAGCTTTGGAGAACAAATTTCTCATTTGAGAACTTGACAGTTTGTCCTAACTTGTTTGAAGTCGGGAACAATATATTTTGGTGCTAGTTGTCTCCTACAAAGGTTCTCAAACCATGACCCTCAAATAGACCTCTTTTCTAAAATTGTTTTTCTGCTGGGCATCTGCAGTAGTTGGCGTAAAGTGCTAGAGAGTTCATGTAACACCAGGCTGCTTTGCTGATCAACACTTCGCCCATGGTGCCTGCTATGAGTGAAATTAATTAGACTTGTGCTATCCTAGTCAATTTCCCTCTCAGCAGGTTGTGTGGTTAGAGCTCCTCAGAGTCTAAGGCTGATTCTGCAGTTCTTCTAGCTACCAGGTTGACAGACATTTTTTAAAAATTGGAAGAAAGGTGATATTATTAAAAAACACACAACAACAATAAAAGACTTGGCTACAAAATGAGTTAGAAGCAAAAAAGAAAAAAAATGGCCAAGACTAAAGTATTTTTTTTCTGGTTGTAATAATGGACCATGGTTCAATAGCAACAATTAAGCCATTAAAATAAACAGGTTTTAAAATTTGTACTTTTCTTAGACCTAGAGAATTCTTAAGTTGTTAATTATTAGATAAATTGGAACTATTTTTAAAACTTCAAGATAAACTCAAATTAGTATGTTATAATTGTTTAGGATAGAGCTGAGCCTGCACCCCACACCTCTAGAGCCACATTTTATGCTCTTAACTAACATGTACATTTTACATCTTTTAAGATTTTGAAATTTCATTCTGGCCTCTAGCAGAATGGTCTACCATTACTGGCAGTAATGGTAACTGGGATTTGTAAAACTGCTTTATGGTGATTTACTCATTGCTAGACAAACAGTTCTGTGACAATGTGTTTTCCCTCAAGTGCAAGCCTACTGTGATCATATGTGATCCAGTATAGCATTTGGTCTCTTTTCTTGAAGTTTTCGTGGAATCAGGAATTGCACCAACCAAGGAGGCTCAAATGCCAATGCAATGCTTAGTTTGCTAGCTTAAGTGAAATAGTACATCATGTTTAAGATTGTTAACTCCATCTCTGATTATATGGGATGCTTTAGTTGTAAATGCCTATAGAATAGTGTTTAAAACCAGTGGGGACTCTGGTCAGACCAATGGTATTACTCTGTGAGGGTAATAACTCCCCCTCCATGATCTATAGTAATAAAAGGGCAATATGCTAATTAGACCAGATGTCTTCCAGGCGTCATTCTGGATGTCCTTCCTGACAAAGCCAGGGCTGGAGGGAAGCCAGCCCGGGTCCCGGATGCCTGCAGGTGGCCGGAGGAGAGAAGCAGCCCAGGTCCCAGGTGCCGGAGGGAAGCCAATGCCGACAGCTGGGGGAAGGAAGGCCTACTTTTGCACAAATTTTTGTGTATTGGGCCTCTAGTTATTACATAAGTGTCAGTGACTGTGTATGAGTTGAGGGATTTTTTTTTTTTTCTGTAATTCATTTATACCTATTTCTCCAAATGCTTTGAGGCAGTTTCCAAAAACACTTAATAGAAAAGAATAATCAGTTGAAGGAATTACAGTAAAGGGAATAACAATGTTAAGTAAATAATAAAGCTATTATAGAATGAGCATTTGAATCTGTATAAAATATAGCATATAGAATAACCTATAGTTTCAAAAGATCATGGGACCTCCCCGAGTCCCGGAGTCCCACCCAGTGTGGCCAGTTCGCTGTAGGTTGGCCCCGAGTCCTGGAGTGCTGCCCCAATGCCCCGCCTCCGGGCTGCGTGGAATGGTCGCCAGGCCCCGCCCCCACGGCACACTTGTGGCGCTGTGGAAACCCCACCAGAAGACGCGCGAAGTGAACGCCAGGACCCCCGTGCCCCTGCAGGGCCGCAGGAACCCTGGCGGAAGCCATGCAGAGCGGCCACCTCCCCCCCCCCCCCACTGTGTGCACTGCCATCTTGTAATGTGTTATAGTGTGAGGGTCAATTTGCATATTACCTCTTTATTATATAGGATGGATAACCCAATTTATTTCTCTTCTCCTTTGAATGGATTTTCAGTTTGCTTCTAGCTTTTTCATTGTTATAAACAATGCTACATTGAACACACTTGTCTATGTCTTCTTGTGCCCATGTGCAGTTTCTCTAGGGCAGTGGTTCTCAAAATGTGGTTCCAGGACCAGCATATCAGGATCATGTGGGAACTTTGTTAGAAATGCAAATTTAGAGGCTCATTCCAAACCTCTGAATCAGAAACTCTGAGGGTGAGGCTCAGTAACCAGTTTTGTAGGTGATTCTGACACGCACTAAAATTTGAGAACCACTATTCTGGTGCAGTATTATAGTTAAAAGTAGAATTGCTGAGCCTTAGTGTACACACATACTCAACTTCACAAGATATGGCCAGATTCCCATCCAAAATACTTTCCCACCAACAGTGTATGAAAGTTCCCATATCCCCCCCTCACGGTTTGGTTGATTTTTCTTTCCTCCTGCAGGTCTTATAGATGTAAAATGTTTTAGAGCAACTTCCTTCCTTCCTTCCTTCCTTCCTTCCTTCCGTCCTTCCTTCCTTCCTTTTTTTTATGAATGATATTTTTGTAAGGTAGCTGGCCTTTTTCTTAATGATTTTATAGAAACAATTTATATACCAATTCATATATTAATGAAATTTTTTTTTTCATGCATTGCAAGGAGCTTTATTTTTTCAGTTTGGCTTTGTTTATAATTCTTAAGAAAATTGTAACCTAATTCACCAATTTTTTGAGTGGCATTGGAGGGGAGAATTTTGAATTGAATTTGATTTACTACTGGGACACCCTGCTAAGATATATAGCAGTTATTTGAAATGGTCTGAGCCTTATGAGAGAAGTCAAAGTTAGAGAGATTTAGGAAATATTTTTATCAAGGCAGAAATTTGACACTGTTGGGATGGATAAAATTGCCATGAAAGAGAACGTTGATTGAGAAAATGACTGAGGATTAAACCATGGGGAGCAATAGTGAAGGAAGAGCATCCAACAAAAAAGATTGAAGAATGATCATAGAACAGAGAGGGCAAGAGCAAGGAGAAGAATCTGGAAAATTGAATAGTGATGGGGTATAAGTGGGGAGGGATCTCTGCTGCAGAGAAAGTAGCACATCTAAGAAAGGGGTAAATGTTGCCCTTCAAGAGAGCAGCTAGCCATGGGCTGAGGAATAGAAACCTACTCTTCATTAGTTTGTACTAAAGTATAAGAGAAGATGAGACAGTGGTTAGAGAGGTAACAAGATCATTTCCCCTCAGGAGTAGAGTATTTGTGTCTTAGGTGAAGGAGCTGGTGGCATAGTTGTGTGCGGTGTTCACTATGCTATCTCCTCTTCAGGCAGCCTTTCCATAGATGTACTTCATATACCCATTGAGTAAATTCATTCGGTAAGATAATGTTAAGTATTGTGCAGAGGATTAAAATAGGGTGATGTAATTGTTATTAGGAGACTGTATTAGAATAGGCGATCTTCTCCGAGGTTAACACTTAAGTTTGGGATTGGACTTGTAAGTAGCTATTTGAATAATATGAGTAGAGAATTCTAGGCAGGAGACAAAGTTTCTAGTCTTTGTCTAGACTAGAAGGTCAAACAGAAATAGTAGGATCATGTGCCATTAATCTAAAACATCCTTTTGCTTTTTCTGTCAACCAGGGTGAAGAGAAAACAGAAATCTTTGTCCTCTGACTTTGGAAATCTTGTTTAACCTTCAAACTGGCGATGTCAAGGGTTCCAAGTCCTCCACCTCCGGCAGAAATGTCGAGTGGCCCTGTAGCTGAGAGCTGGTGCTACACACAGGTAAGTTATGTTTTCACCCTGTAAATCTTTGCATGTTGGGAGGATTTGGTGGGCAATAGGAATACAATTTCTTTCGACACTGGGTTTTCTGCTTTCTCAGAGACATAACTGCCAGATAGTAGATAGGTAAGATATTTGTCAGCTTTCCATTCCTTGGTTTTCCAAGTGGAATCTGAATACCCTAGGCCATGGTTTTTCACTGGAGATTAAAAGGGGGGACTCTGAAATTAGATCCACTTACATCCTCCTTGATGGAAATGTGTTCCTGTGTTGGGCAACTCAAAAGGAAACTAGGTTTGAGATTTTCAACCCCAAGTAGTAGCATCAACATCTCAATTGTCAAACACTGCTCTGAACAAAGGCTCATTATAGGTATGGCTTTGTCATCTGCTTTCCCAACCCTGTCCATGTTTTTCCTACTTTCCATTCGGTATTTCTCAGAAGCTGAGAAAAGCTATGAAAGCAGTTGGTCACTGTGAGATTTCTTAAAACGTGGATGAGGGCCCTGCCGGTGTGGCTCATGTGGCACATGCCCAGGTTTCAGGCTCAGTCTCCTATAGGGGGTGTACAGGAGGCAGCTGATCGATATTTTTCTCTCATCGATGTTTCTGTCTCTATTTCTCTCCCTTCCTTTCTCTCTCTTAAAGTCAATAAAAACATACATTTTTAAAATGTGGAAGAGGGACCTACGGTGAGAGAAAAGCTGAGCCTCCATGCTGGCCAAATAGTGCTGTCTTCGTCTGGGATCATGTAGAGGGAGGGAGCAGAAACAATGATCTGGGCTTCAGCCTGTTTTTTAGGTCACCCACTTATTTAATTCCTGGTTTTCTATCAACAGATCAAGGTAGTGAAATTCTCCTACATGTGGACCATCAATAACTTTAGCTTTTGCCGGGAGGAAATGGGTGAAGTCATTAAAAGCTCAACCTTTTCATCAGGAGCCAATGATAAACTGAAATGGTGAGGAAGAACACATCTAGCTGTAAAAGTATTTCTAAAAGTTGCCTGTTTTGCTTGGTTTTATGGGGAGATTGACTAGAATGTAAGGTACTTGGAGATAGGGACTTTGTACTTAAAATTCCCCAGCGTCTACGACTGTGCCTGCTACACATAGGTGCTTGCTATGTAATTGTTGAATTAATTTAATGAGTATATCAGGGATCTGCAAATTCAAATGGCTGTAGGGTAATGTAAATGAGTAAAGAGGGCCAGTGTTGTAAAAGATAATCCATATCTGGTGTAAGTGTTGACTATTAGGCAAACCAGCTGGTGTCCTTCTAAAAGGGGCAGTGGTTACTGAGATCCAGCTGACTATAGCTGTATGTGAATAAGGGCTGATCATTGCCATATTTTCTGATTCTTTAAGTAAAGCAAGAAATCCAGATTTTAACATACAGTCTCTTGACTTTTAAAATGACTGTTTTTAAAAAATAAAGATTTATTTGCTTATGGAACTGGAATGCACAGGGTGTAGGATGGTTTTGAAGCTTAGTTCAATCCAGCATCTAGTGTTTAGATTAAGGACCCCATTTCTCTCTGCTCTGCCCTGCTCTCCATGCTGTTGGAGATCTCAAGTCTAATGTCCCTTGTGCTTGAAGGATGACTTGCATTAGTAACGGCATAACCCACTACCACCCAACAGAAGCCTTTGGACTTCCTCTGAAGTAACTGTGGTCATGCATATACTGATTGGTTTAGGTCTGGGTTCCACCAATTACTCCCTGTGGCAAAGGGGTCAGTCCTATCTAAACCATGTGTCCTCTTGACGAGGAGCAGGCAATCAAGGGTGTTATCATGTGCTCACTGCAAAGACCAGAACACATGTCTGCGAACCACCAGTTTTGACTTCTGATAACCCACTGAACGTTAAATAGCTCCCCATTTAGATTTGTTGGCTATATACATTAAGCAGTGTACTACTAAATGTTGAGAGAGAATGCTTATTCATAGGCATCGTATTTAAATCTACATCTTCAACACAGTGTATAGTGATATGAGTGGCATATGCACTCCCTAGAGAGGCATTGGATTGAGCCACCTGTTTGTGAGAGGTGTCATAACACTGGCAAGGCCTTGGGGATGCATATGGCCTATCTGGTAGAAGCTGTATCTGAACCACATGCAGTTCAACTGACATTTACAACTTAACTCAGTGGAACCTATTAAATTCTGTCTGAATTTTGTTTTGATTCATTGGTAACAGATTGGCATCTCTGACTATATAGCGTGGAGCTATACCCTGGGAGTTTACTTTTATCTGTGCTTTCTCCGTGCTGTCGCCTTTATTTTAATCTTATAATATTATTACCAGATTGATAAAGTATCTGGAAAAGATTGGGTACTATTCACATATTTCTCTCAAATACTTTTTTCTTTCCCAAGGTGATATTTAAGGGCTTGTTGACATTTTTTTCATGGTTTCACCACAGTCCCAACAAAATTAGGGGCTGCTTCTCCTGAGATTGAGGATTAGAATAGCCTGACTTTGAAAATATTTTAGGGGGTAAAAGTGATTTGGGAGATTATGGGGAAAGAGGCAGGGATGTAAGGGATGTGTTGTCAGATTCTAGTTGACTCAGGTTGCTCTAAAAAAGTGGCTCTGAAGTAGTCATTCTACTAAATCAGAATTTCCTGGTTATGGGGCCTGAGCTTGTTTATATTTTAAACATCTCCCTCTCTTGATTCTGATGTTCTAATTCTCTCCTATCACTTCACCAGCCTATAAAGCATGGATGTTTTCAACATTTTTCCCCCCCTATCTGTTTTGGGCAGGTGTTTGAGAGTAAACCCAAAAGGGTTAGATGAAGAAAGCAAAGATTACCTGTCACTTTACCTGTTACTGGTTAGCTGTCCAAAGAGTGAAGTTCGGGCAAAATTCAAATTCTCCATCCTGAATGCCAAGGGAGAAGAAACCAAAGCTATGGGTAAATGTTCTCTTCTTTGTTTGATTCTTTATTTTCACATCCAGCAACTTCATACACTGACAAGTTATAGATTTGATCTGGTTTTTTGAGTAACCCTAAATATAACTTTTTTTTCACCTCAGAGAGTCAACGGGCATATAGGTTTGTGCAAGGCAAAGACTGGGGATTCAAAAAATTCATCCGTAGAGATTTTCTCTTGGATGAAGCCAACGGGCTTCTCCCTGATGACAAGCTTACCCTCTTCTGTGAGGTGAGTGCTTCTTCCCCACTGTGAGACTAGCCGTTCCCAGGCCTGGTCAGTAGTGGCCGATGTAATCGTATTGTATCAGGAATAGAGAATGGGAAGAACCCCCAGGTGGAATGGTGTTGCACAAACGTTATTGATATGACTGGTTGAAAACTGCTGTGATTTCAAGGTTGTTGGGCATCTAGCTTTCCACTTGTTACTGTTCTTCAAAACAAAGATTGTGTACAATCTTGGTATTTATGATTTTTGAATTGCTTGGGTCAGGATTCTGGCTTTTTCTTGGCGGGGTTTTTCAGATAGCATTTGGAAGGACTGTTACTTCAAGCTGAGGAGAATGGCCAGCAAATATATGTGTATATTTGTTCCTTAAACTTTATGGCTTCTTCTTGAGTATGAAGTCCACATATGTTTGACTGTAGATCACTTTTCTTTTCTGCTCTTTGAACTGGATGACTTATCAGGAGTTGAATGTCTCTGGATTGTCTTGCTAGAGTAATTGTGAAATAGGAAGGTGAGAATCCTCTATTCTAGAGTGAAGGTTATATAAAGCTCTCTAACTCATAATAGCTGAGCGTTATCTGTAGTCTGTTAGGCAAGTCCTTCTCACCAACAACTTAAAAGCCTTTTTTAGGTTTACAAGAGAAGTCTTGAAGTAAAATTCCCAAACTGAGAGTGAGTTGGAAAGTGGTTTCTTTAATGACTATTTACTAAGAAGTCATTTCATGCTCTTATCAACACATTTATAAATATTCATAAGCTCACAGTGTAATAAACGAATAAAACCTCCAGTCAACTTAGATGGCAGTGTTTCCTATACATTGTATGGTCAAGAAGCCACTTCCTGAGCAGCAGCGCTTGACAAGAATGACCACTGTATTTTCCTGGGGACGGTGCAGGCAAGTTCCTACAGTTGTTCTGTCAAGTAATAGGCGTGCACTGTGAGTTAATGACAGTCCCAAAGCATGTCACCACCTGTGCAGCCGGGGAGGGTGTCCCTTAGGAATCATGCCCTTTTGTAGAAGAGGACTGGCCAGTGGGAGCTGGCTTTTTTTCTGAGTCACAGCTTAATTATTTCCACAGAATAGTACCTCATGGTTAGGAAATTTTGGAAGCATCATTTATTAAGATATCACACTGAATATGTAAAATGCAGTTTTCATAATAGCTGCCTTATAATAAAAAAAGGAAATACTAGCAGGATGACACCTAGGTAAATACAGAAATTGTTGCAGTTGTTTTTTGTCTGATGAACGTTAAATTTGAATTCCATGTAATCTAACTAGTTACATACTCAGTTGCCCAAGTAAGAAATGAATACAACTAGGTGGTTTTGTATGAAGTTAAATGTTATATAAATAGACCATCAATTTAATCTTCACCTATCTTAAAGACCTAAATTTCAGAAAAATTTAAATATAGTGGAAAATTCTAATTTCTCTTGGAAATGAAAGCCAATCTCAACTGTTCTCTGAAGAAAGATATCTCCTCTAAATATTGCATCTGGTGTTTTAGGCAGTGCCTTTATTGCATTATTTTTAAGTCCACAGTGGGCCCAGCCTTTTCTCATGTGCTGTCTCCCCCCTACCGCCCCATATCTGCTCCACCTTTTATATGGACATTGTTGATTTGGAGACCAGTTGTCTTGCCCTCACTTGGCAATCTCTCATCCTGTAGTTAAGACTGAGGCGCCCTCTCCCCCTTCGCTTCCCCATATAAAATTCTCTTAGGAGAAATGCTGTGGTTAAGTTTAGATTTGCCTTACTGACTTAGAAGGGAAGTGAGATGACACTTTGGAAGTGAGGAGATGTTGAACAGGGAAACGTCTGCTGGGTTCTGCTGATGCCATCAGTTTCTTACCATCGGACCAGGTATGCCATCTGTTCTCCTCACACTTCAGTGTTGGCCACAGGTGCTGAGTGTTGCTTATCATACTTGGGCTTGTGCCTAGTGAGACTCGTTTCTGTTCCAAGGCTCTCTGTGGACTTAGTAGCATTCAGCATTGCAAGACAGTTGCATGGGGGTATGTGTTGGATGTGTGGGTTTTAAAAATATATACAGCTCATCTGAGTTTTTAGCGCTTTACAAAGCTAGATTATTCTTTGGTGTAAGTCCTATCCCTTTGACCTGTTGCTTCCTTTTATCAATGGGGGGAAAATATATGTTTATTTTAGTTCATATTCATATTTTATTTATTATTGGTTTAGATAGTATTTTGTTATTATTCGAGGCTTTGTGAAGTTGATGCCCTCATACAAATTTAGATTATGAATACTCCACTGTTCCATTCCTCATCAGTCTTTGGCCCAGATACATGTCTGTCCTGTCATGATGCAATAAGTATAGTTGTTTCATTAATTTTAAAATATTTTTTGATATTCCCAGAGGCTGCAGGAGGGAATTCATCCTAAGGTGCAAGACTAAGAATCACACATTTGTATGTTTGGGCTTTATTTTAGTAATGTTACTGTTAATGAATATTTAAATGAAATTAGATTGCAAACTCTGAAAATGCCAAATGTATGGTCTTGTTTATAATGTGCCACGCTGGGTTCACATTCAATTTTCAGTGATGTTTTTGTCTGACTATTAGGAAATGTGGCAATTCTTCCAAGATGATATTGCTTAGCTAATGTATTTGGAAGCATTTTCAAAGTATTCCTTGAATTGTCTATTTTTACAATCCTTTGAGCTAGGTTAGTTCTATTATCTTCATTTCATGTTGTTGGGGAGAGAAGCGGTGCCTGGAGAGGTCAGGTAATTTTTTCCTAACATTGTGCAGCAAATTAGTGTCAGCTCTCCATTTTCTCTCTCTAGGCTGCTGTGCCACGCTAAGTGGAGCTAAATGCTATTTACCCAGGGAAACATGGGCTCTACCAGGTTTTCTTAACAGAGAGTATTTATTTTGGTAATGAAACAGAATCATGAAAGCTTTACACTTTTAATAATTTGGACCACGGAAAATCTACTTGAAAAATCTACTTGAAAATCTACTTTTAGCTTCTGTTGACCCTTCCCTCCATTTCTTATATTGAAAACAAGTAGCTGTTAGCAATAAAGATGCACATATTCCACCTTCGTTGTATGTGCCTTTGATAGGTAGAAGATTTCAGAGTTTCTTTGTAATGTTGCAATTAAAGTTGAAATAGGAAATATCTAGATGCTACTAAACTCTTTTAAAAATATATTTTTTAAGTGATTTTAGAGAGGAAGGGAGAAGAGGGAGAGAGAGAAACATCAATGATGAGAGAGATTCATTGATCAGCTGCCTCCTGCATGCCCCACCACTGGGGATCCAGCCACAACCCAGACATGTGCCCTGACTGGGAATCGAACCATGACCTCCTGATTCATAGGTTGACGCTCAACCACTGAACCACGCAAGCCAGGAGATACTACTTAACTCTTAAAACATTTCTTTCCTTCTCAAACATAGAATATCCCTTCATAGCCTCGGAATATGATTTTTGCCAAATTTTAAATGTGTGGATCTATTTATTTTTTTCTCTTTATTGTTATTAATGAATTATTTGGATATTTTAGTTGAACTGTGTGAAAATGCCAATATTTGATTGTTTTTGTCCTACAAAAATGGTGATTTAATATGTAACATTATTATCCTATATAATAAAAGGCTAATATGCAAATTGTCCCCTCAACTGGGAATTCTACTGGGAGTTCAACTGGGAGTTCGACCAGGGGGCGGTGCTGGTCAACCCTACCCCCATTTACCCCCCCCCCCATCAGGGGCGGGACCAGACCGCCAACCACCAGCGGCCCATCCCCCCAGCCACTGGGACTACACCTGTGCACAAATTCATGCACCGGGCCTCTAGTAGGTTATAAATATGATAATGTAGTAAACTTCAGCCAACCCAGCAGTAACTTGGAATTAACTTGTATGTTTCTCCCCTAACCCTTAAACCTGTTGTCTTCCCCCCTTAGGATATACTAAAGAGCTATTTTGAATTATATGTTATCTCCTCATATATTATTTGTAGCCTGAATAATATGTTGTTTTCATTTGATTGGTTTTGAGCTTTATAAAGTTGGTGTCAGAAAGTATGTAGTCATCTAGGACTTGTTCTTTTCACATTATGTTTCTAAAATTTATATTGTGGATGTAACTACCGTTCATTCATTTTTACTGCTGTGTAATATTTGTGTGAATAGGCAACAGTTTATTCTCTTGTTGATGGACATTTAGGTTGTTGCTAGTCTTTTGATTAGAAACAGTGCTGCTGCTATAAACAATCTATATGCAGAGTCTTTCCCCCCCTCAATTGTTTTAATGATATGGAAGTTAAAAAATATTATTTCCATTGGTTTTATTTTTTATGTTTAAGTAAAATATTCAGGAATTGGCACAATCTTTAGTCTTTTATGAAATATTTTTTAAGAAAAGTAATTGACTTTAAAAGTGAGGCCCTTTTACAGCTTGAAATTTAGAGGGTTATACAGCCTTCCTGAGACATTTTCATGCAGTCATTTGTAAGACGGCATAAATGTCACAGTCACGTCATCTTCGCAGCTGTAATTCTGAATGAGTCTCCATAGTCAACTTTATAGGCATTAAAAAAATCTTTAGTTTTTCTCAAAATGGTTTCATTTTAGCAGCATCATTTGCAGAGGAAAACAATCCCTTTCTAAGTTAAAAGTTTGGGCTCTGAAGACTCATTTGTGAATGCCATTTAAAATTTATTTTTAATTAAGCGTATTTAATGTTGGTAAGAGGTGCCAGACATTCAGAACTCTGGAGACTCCAGGCATCCATATATCTACAGAACAAGTCTGGCTCAGACAGTAAAGGTACATTCTCCTTCTTGTGCGTTCCTATTTGTGTCTAGAGAGAGGAATTGTCCCTGCAAGAGGAGTCACAGTTTTGGGTGCCCCACTTATTACCAAGCATGCATCTAACCAGCAGAGGGTCTGTGGTAACCATAGTTTGAAATTCACCTTATCTCTTGCCAATTCATTTTACTCAGACTAGTAAATTGCCATCAAGTGTTAATGACTTTGGGCTCCTGTCAGCCTGGTTTAATTCAGGCTTAGGACCTAGTGCCAAAAGCATTCTCCATTCCCTTCATTGGTCATCCCAAGAGAGTCCTGCCTTCTTTATGAGGAAGTTGGATTTACTTGGTCTTTTCCTTTTTTTAAAATAAATTAATCATCAGTATTTTTAAGCTGTAACTGGAAACAGGCATTTTCTACTTTGATATTAATATTATATCAAAGAAATAAGAGTGTTAATATGAGAGAATGGCTGACCCAAATTAGAGATCTTACACAGGACAAGAGAGGATCTGTGCAGTAGTTTGTGCTGGGTCTCAGGCTATTAAAATAATGTTATAATCTGGCTCTGATAAATGTGCTGCTAATGCTAAGCACATTCATAATTGATTAACTTGGCTGCTTCATTGCTCAAGACTATAACAGCTCGTTTTAAACAAATGAATAAATTTCTCGACCTGGTAATAAATATCTCACTCCAGCACAGAAGGGACTGCGGGTCATTTGGATGGGGCATTAACTTTGCCTCGGGGTTTATGACTGCATTTAAGGGATGACTTCTATCTTGAAGGTTAAAAGAAATTTGGGTCATTTAGGATGTTCCTAAGCTGCCTTTCTCAACTAACTTATCAGAATAGCAAAATGGGGGAGCTGATTCTCAAGGTTTATGAATTCTGCTTTGATTTTAACATTTCTAACCTATTATGATGTAGGAGATGAAGCATAGCAGTGATTACTAGGCAGAAGACTGATCTGCTTCAGTTTGGTAACTTACATTTATTTTGTAATGTTATATGATTTATAAATTCTTGTATTTGGTATACTAACAAATTTACCTTTCACTGATGCATCTAGAAGTTACCTTGTTTTGTTTTGTTTTAAATCTAAACTGAACTGTTAATTCAACTGGTTAAAACCTGCTGCTGAAGCCATGTGGCAAGTTGGATCCCTCTTTAAACCTGTTCTTCTCATTCTGTTCCAAAGCTATGAGTGCAAGTCTAGCAGGAGCCAGCAGTCTTGTATTTCATTGTCACAAATGACTGAGTAAGGGTATAAATGGTGTGGGATACCCACACAGTTATCTCTGCCAGAAAGATCTTCCAAGCCTAGTCCTGTTCATTAAATTAACACTTGCACGGAAGTACCAATTATTTACCAGGCCCTATGGAAGTTGCATGTTATTTTCATGTTCCAGACCTAACTAAAGTAAGTGAAATGCTTTTAGGTGTACTAGATTTTTCTCTCTGAAGAGTTTAATTTAAATGGTAGTTTCTATAGGAGTTCTTTGTATTTAACCTTAAGGCAGAATAAGGTAAATACTTGAGGTTTAACATTTGTTTCTTTTAGTTTTTCCCTCTGATGGTTTTGCCCAGGTTTTCAGGGAAGGGGAGGTGAGGCTTATTAGAAGTTGGAGGAGAAGGAGATTTGTGGGGCTTTCTCCCTATTTTCCTGAGATGGTGTAGACTAAGTATAACTGTGATAGATTGAAAATTACGTGATCCAGAGGATAAAGCCTTGATTTGTGGAGATGGTTTCAAGAGAATATGACTAACGTTAGTATCTGAATGAGGTATAAATCATCTCTCTTCCTGCTGGGAAGAAAATTCCTGATAACAAAAGCTTTGGACTGTTTCCTTGTCTTTACAGGTGAGTGTGGTGCAAGATTCCGTCAACATTTCTGGCCAGAATACCATGAATATGGTGAAGGTTCCCGAGTGCCGGTTGGCAGATGAGTTAGGAGGACTTTGGGAGAATTCCCGGTTCACAGACTGTTGTTTGTGTGTTGCTGGCCAGGAATTCCAGGCTCACAAAGCTATCTTAGCAGGTTAGTATCTATTCGTAGGTTAGTATCTTGTTCGTTTTGGTGAAACAAGGCAAACCAGTGGCTGCATAATGACCTGTTGAATAACTTCAGCCTTTTGAACTAGTGAAAAAAAATTGCAACTAAATATATTTTTATATTGTGGTGACATTAGTTGTCATAATCAAAAAGGCAACTCTGCATAAAAATGGTATTTCTATTTTTCCTTTCTGTAGTGGACTTAGGCCACCATTTTCAAGGAATGGATGATGATATGTTTTGAATGCCTTTGCACCTAGAAAACAGATGTCAAAACACTGCTTAGGATCAAGTATTAGTTCCTAAACAAGGGACTTAGGATATAACAGAGAGGATTCTGGACTCAGGATAAACTACGTTCAGTTAAGTCCCCTGCCCTGGAGATCTTAGGCTTCTCTTCCATATAAACACATCAGAAGGATAAGAATATTGCCAGTGACATGGAGGATCAGGTCTTATTCTAATAATAGGCCCTTTGTCTTTGAGACGAGAAAGAGTGACACAGAGGGGAACTGACAAGGCAGGGTTGACTTGACCACATGAAAGCATAGCAGCCAGCCACAGACTTCTATTCAGGCCATAAGACATAAAAGGAAATAGCATGAATTTTCAGCAACAAATTTCTTACCAAGATTCTCAGCTCTGTTCTAAAATACACACCTGGAGAACCCCACTCTGGCTCAATCTAACCATCTTTCTGTTCCCTCTCTGAACTAGATGGTACCGTGTATTGCTAAAGAAAGTCATCAACTCTTAGGTTAGCGCTCCATACTCAGCTGGGCCCTCAGCACTGCCAAGAACTCGTCCTACAGTTAGTCAGCTCCCTTTCTTTTTCTCAACAATAGCTACTTCACAACTTCACTACTCTCCTTTAATCTCCAACTCCTAAAAGATGACCTTGCTACTTCTTCCAAGAGAAAATTGAGGCCCTGTCCCTTAGCTCTTGCCTCTCACCTTACCTGCATTTTCCCTGCATTCTTGGTGGAAGGGGTGTTCTTCCTTGTGTCCAGAGTGCTGTACTTTCTACTTCTGTTCTGTTTCATATCCCATGCTGCCTCCTTCTTCTTCTTACTCTGCCACTTATACCCTTGTTATCTGGTATCTTCATCAACTCTCGTTCTCCTATTGCCTGTTTACCCTCAGTCTATAAACAGGCTCAGGCTACTCCCCCTAGTTATTCATTCTCATTCTCTCTCTCTCTCTCTCTCTCTCTCTCTCTCTCTCTCTCTCTCAGCTCTCTCTCTCTCTCTCTCTCTCTCTCTCTCTCTCTCTCTCTCTCTCTCTCTCAGCTAAATTTCTTAAGTTAGCACATTTACTGTCTCAACTTGTCTCCTCTCACTGTCCTCAGTTCATCTACATGCAATGAAAGCAGTTTTCCAAAGTAATATGGCCGGCTAGTTCTTACATTTGAGAGACTCTCGTTCATATATTATTTGGCTCCTTTATTCTAGTTTTCTTCTGATTCTCTGGCTACCTCTGATGTGTGGCCTCCCTCTTCTTCACGCATCCTTTTAAACATTGGTGTTCTCTCAGTTCTCTTTTCATTCTCCTTATTCTCCCTGGGTGATTTTATTTATTTCATAACCTCAGTATCTGTCTATCCAGTGATGACCCTCTAAGCATATCACTGCTTTGGACACTTCCCTCTTTATTAAAATCACCAACCCTTTAGTCTTCAATTTCTGTAATGTATTTATTTAGTACCTTTTAGTCTGTAGCCCTTCTGAGATAAGAACAAGGAGAATTAATATCCTTTGGCATAGTTTAAAGCATTGAGGCTCAGAGGGTTTAGTGATTTGCCCAAGATGTGTGGTTAAAAAATGGCAGATCTAAAATTAGTCCTTCCTAACATAAACTATAAGTGAAAGTTCCAGTTACCTGTTAGCTCAAAGTCCTGTATATATTCCATCTGTTCTTCCTCTCTCAGTTAGAGATTGGTAGTCTTAACTTTCACCAAATCCCTGATTGTCGGACAACATGATAAGATTTGAGTTCTTAGCCATTTTATTACTTTCATGGTTGAAATTAAGTTTACTTATTATTTATAGTGTTCATTAGACTAGAATTGGGCATGACTTAGAACACTGCTTCTTAACCTTTTTTCATTATTCCCACCCCTCGGGGAAAAATTAAATTATCCCCAATGAGAGACATTAAATACTAAGGAATAAGATTTTGTTAGGTAGGGTTGAGTTTTTTTTTAATTTTATTTCATTTTTTTATTTTTTATTAGGGTTGAGCTTTGAAGGGCTACAAACGATGTAATCCCTAAGATTTCTTTTTCTTGCCTCTTTGGGAAGTTATCATCTCTGTTGAGAATGCAAGGCTGGGAGGACCAGAAAACCTGCTGTATATGAGCATGCGTTTCATCTAGTTAGTGGATGCCATTGAGCCTTGTTCTGGGCCTCCTTGCTGTGTGGTCCCTGGATGTGGGGAAAGTAGGTGTCTTTTTTCCAGGCAAAAATGTAGGTATCAAGACATCCTGCTTAGAACCCTAAAGGACCTTCCAGTTGAACCCCCAAATCTACCCAGAGAATATCATTGTCATCCAACATATAGATAAATTTGAGTAATTTCCTTAAAACATGAATGTTTGGAATCTAGCTAATAAATTATTTTGTAAGTAGCATTTTCTTTTTTTGACTATGTATTGTAATTACTAACTTACTGGTATAATATGAAAAGAAATGAATTTTATGATTCTGATATAATTTGAGGCTTAAGACCCTTTCCTATACCAGTGTGACAGCAAAGAAAATGACCTCTTCTACATAACAGAAGAACTGAGTGATTTACAACGTGATAACCACATTTGTCTCTGTTGCCTTTCACTTTCTAGCTCGTTCTCCAGTTTTTAGTGCCATGTTTGAACATGAAATGGAGGAGAGCAAAAAGGTATGTATCAGGATAAAAATATGTCTTCTAGCTAGGTGACTAGATTCAGATGAGTTTTCCAATTTGGCAGCAGATTTATTTTCCTAATTATCTTTTCTTACTGTGTTACTAAAATGGATTATGAATTCCCTGAAGGGACACTGTGAGAGTGGAGAGAGGTAGTCCAGAAGGATTCTAGGTAAAGGAGACTTACTCTCTCCCAGGCAGATCATCCAAAGGGTTTGGGGTGAGGGTATTAGACATGTGTTTCTACTCAAGAAAAGAAAGGTAAAAAAATGAAAGCTATAGTTATCTTTGAAAACAAAGGTGGTACATATGATGGAGAATATTATAATCAAATATGGCAAAGAACAATTTTTCATTCATGTTAGGTTTTAAATGATACAAGCTTCTCTCCTCACTAGAGCTTAAAATCATGAAAATTGTTTAGGGAATTTGTTTTGCTGGAATGTTTCTGACTTCCAGTTTTTCTGGCATAGAATCGGGTTGAAATCAATGATGTGGAGCCTGAAGTTTTTAAGGAAATGATGTGCTTCATTTACACGGGGAAAGCTCCAAACCTGGACAAAATGGCTGATGATTTGCTGGCAGCTGCTGACAAGGTGAGATAGGAATAGAAAAATAATCACAAAACTAGGAGTTTCTGTAACTTCTTGAGTTTCATGGCGGGGCTTCTATGCTGCATTGTAAGTAAGATGAGCACATATCTTAGTTTGGCTAGACAGTCCTGTTTCATACTTGTGCTGCAGCCCAATTATTGAAAGCGCCCTTTTTATTTTCAAAAGCATCCTGCTTTGAATGGTAAATTATATATGGCCACTCTACATATGGAAAAGAAGAAGTCTGCTAAATTACCTCTCAGATTTAACCATAGTGATATTTAAGACTCACATTTGGATTTATAATTTGGCTTTATAATGTATAAAATGTTGTTGGGTTCATTAACTTTTATTTAAACTTTTTCAATAAGAGAATAATCTTTTTCCCAGTGTCCTGGTTAGCATTTTTAACTTTCCCCTAAGTAGTTTTTGAAATACTCAAAATTGTAAGACGATTACTATCTCTTTGGGAAATAAGAGCTACTACTACAGTAAATGTATACTTTGATTGTAAGATACATTTTGATTTGAGAAATGTTAAAGTGTGAAAGTGAAAATGGGATCTTAGAAAGGAAATGCGATTACCTAAAACAACAGACCAGTGATTCCCAAAATAAGCTGGGGTGGGGGGGCGGGCGGGGCGGGGGGAGGCATGTGCCTCAGTTGCAGACTCAATCCCAATGAAACACTGAGTGTAACCAAGTCAAATGCGAGGTTTTGTGTATTGTTGCTATTTTATTGCAGGATTTCTCAGAACCTTTAGTATGTTCATGTGCACTATCATAGCATTTCTCCAATTCAGTTAACTCTGGAATTCTTTTCCTGAAAGATCACCCCTGGATTAGTGTTCCCCAAAGCACACTTTGGGAAACTGACTTTCATTGTATAAACACATTGAAGAGAGCTCAGTGACCTGTCTGTCCTCCAAGCCCTGTGGTCTAAAGAAGTATGACGGGAGTGGGGGTGATTACTGTTTATCCTGTGGGAGCTTTTCTTGTGTTGGGAAGGGGCGTTGCGGCAAGAATGTCAAAGGACTTAAACCCATCCAATAGCAGACTCTCTGAGAAAGATGGTTCTCCGCTGGAAGTGTCCCTTCTTTCTGCCAGGATGCTGCAGTGCCCATGTGAGGCAGAGCTGGCTCTGGCTCCGAGGAAAGGGCACTAGCGCCTTTTCAGGATTTGCTCATGGGACTTCCTTCCACCTTCCTTTGCATCCCTGAGGACAGAGGAAAGTGCCTGTATTTACGTGGAGGTTTCATCTTTATTGATCAGCGTTTTGGAGTGTTAGTAGAGGATAAGGCATGTAAACCCAATCGATGCTACAGATGAAAAGGATTGAATAATACTGTATCCTGCATATTACCTTTCAAGACTGAATTAGTACCGTTAAGCAATGCGAACATCCCATTCCCTTTCAGTCTAGCTCAGCTCTGACCAGAGGAAACTTGCTTCCAGTGGAGACAGTAAGGAAATACACATTGTGAGCTCTGAGGAAGTTGAAGACACACAGCCCAATACCTGCTGCTTTTGTGGTGGTTGTTAATCCTCACCCGAGGATATTTTTTCCATTGATATTTAGAGAGAGTGGAAGGGAGGGGGAGAGACAGAGAGAGAGAAGAATTGATGTGTCTCACACATTGATTGGTTGCCTCCTGCACTCACCCACACCAGGCCAGGGATTGGGCCTGCAACTAAGGTACATGCCCTTGACCGGAATCGAACCTTTGATCCTTAAGTCTGAGGGCCCACACTCTATCCACTGAGCCAAACTGGCTTCCGCCCAATACCTGCTTTTTATAAATACGAATTTTATAGTGATTCTGACTCATCTGCCCTTTAATTTTCACTGAAGCAGTCACTTGGTGCTTACACACAGGCGTTTATCTTCCTCTCATCTTCTAGCTCCCATAAAGGTGAGTAGCATTGAAAGGCCCACTTTTTAGACAGAAATACTAAGGCTCAGAGTTGTATATTCTTAGAGCCAGGGTTAGACATATGTGTCCCTGGGTTTTCATTTCTGCTCCTCAACCAGAGAACTTACTGGGCACTCACTACTATAAGAGCTCAGAGCATAGGGATCAGCCTGAAGTGACATTCTAAGAATGGTATTTTCGGTACATTGTGTTAAGCTGGGATTTTAAAAGCTAAAGCAGTTGAATCACAGCAATACTTTAAATTTATGAATGAGAAATAACTGAAGGGTGTGTTTTCAAATTCCATTCAGAATTTCCCATTAGACACTCCTTGCTTCAAGCTTATTGGAAAATATTCTTACCTTTATACCTCCTTGTAAGCGTCAGGAAAACAGAATAAGAAATCTTTCATGGAAGGATCTAGACCTCTAGAATTTACCCAAGAGACTGCAACAGCTTCTTCTGAGCTTTCCCAGTCTCCTGGGGACATGTGTAATTAGACCAAAAACAAAACAAAACACGTTGGCCAGGCCGGGAGACACAATTTCAATCTCTCGGGTAAGTACTGCCATTAGGCAGGTTTTTCAGAAGTATAATTAAGAAAAAAACTTGGTCCCCCAAGGGACAGCAGTGGCTACTTTTGTCTAATTATGCAGTAGGGATCAGAGCTATTCACAGCAAAAGTCCTTTTAAAAGAAAGTATTGAGAAAGGATAAGAGGAATATTCTGTGCAGCACTGTGTAAAAACTGAACATTTACCAAACCTTTCCCAGCCTTTTAAAACAAAAACCTAATTTCTTGCTTGTCTAGTGTCATTCCTGTTTTCCATGGAAACTGTTTTCCAGTTACTCAAATGTAAAAATTAAAGCTGTACCAAAACCAATAAAATTCTCTTTTTGCTGCAGGAGATCAAAGTGCCAGCAGATATGCCTCCTCACCCAGAATTCATAAAAATAAAATTGGCCTGGTTTGATGGCCATGATTCAGCTTAGAGGAATATTATGCCACTGAGTTCTGAGGCTCCTTAAGATGGGACCTGTAGGGAGACTGGAGACCCCCAACCAAACCCCTTTCCTGTGAACTGATGAATGACATTTTATTTTGTGCCTCCTTTTTATGCCTTCCTCCTCCTTGTCCTTGAAGTTCCTTAGTAAGTTCATAATCTCATATTTGAGAGCAAGGAGTACAGTTGCGTCAAAACAAATCAACTAAATGAAATGTGCCCAATATTAACCTAGACTTTCATTTACAAAATATTTATACCCTTTACTTGGAAGAAGTTTTAGACTGAAACTGGATCCCAGGGTCTTTGTTGCTTTGTTTTTCTACCCTGAGAATCTTAACCTCAACCCCAATAAAATAGGACTCCATTTACCCTCTGTTTGAAAGGAGGCTGGGGTTGACCCTCATTCAGGAACAGCTCGTGGCAGAGATGCTGGTGAAAGCACCACAGGCTCCTTTCCACAGCCCAGTGGGCCAGTCAGGATATCCTGCCAGGCCGGTGACCGTGCTTCACCCTAGAGCGGCTCCGAATGAAAGGACTGCAGACACTGAACATGTCATGTCCCTGGTGACCCGAAGCAGAGTGATCTGTCATTGTGAGGGTAGGGAGTGATGGTTTAAGAAACACTTGAATAATATCGGGACAGGGTAAACGTGAGGATGTGGGTCTATTTCATAATTGCCCTTTTTCTCCTAGGTACACTGTAGAACTGGAGTGGTAGGTATGCACGTTATTTTAGCTGTCTTCATCTCAGCATTTGGAGTATGGTTATGTTTTACAATTACAGTCGTAGCCTTCTCACTGAATGCGCGATTTGTTCATGTCTCCGTTACATGATGGTACAGCTTCAGGAGCGGGCAGCCCAGAGCTATTCTGTTCTGACGGCAGTGCTTGTGTTACAGTACGCCCTGGAGCGCTTAAAGGTCATGTGTGAGGACGCCCTCTGCAGCAACCTCTCTGTGGAGAACGCCGCAGAGATTCTCATCTTGGCTGACCTCCACAGCGCAGATCAATTGAAAACGCAGGCCGTGGACTTCATCAACTAGTGAGTTGGCATCTTCAGAGTCCTTCTTCCAGGGTAGTTGGGGCAGCTGGAGAAGTGAAAAGACTGCATTAGTGAACAAAATAAATGAGGAGCTTCATTAACTTCTAGTAGTAAATACAGTTTTCATCTTTCCCTTCATCTTGACAGTGTGGAAGAGGGTTTTGCTTTCACGGGTCTAATTTGATTGCTGAGTGAGGTGTTTTACTTCCATGTAGTGATCAGATTGATGAAAATGATAATGTGCTGTGTTCCCCAAATGATAGCATCTTTCCTTCACATTCACTGGCCTGATGAAAGGCATGCAGATCTCTGGGTGAACAGAGTGTGTTTTTATGAGTTAGTAAAATATATCTAATGGTCCATTGTGGAATGGGGAAAAGAGAAGGGGTCATCAGTAGAGAAAGAAATGTTCATTCCAGTAGATCTGTTCCTTCAACCTTAAATGACAAATGACCTGGCCATATTCCTTTCTGAAATAATTCTCAGTGGGGCATGTTCTACTCCCCTGCCTGATGGGGAACAGCATTTGGAAAAAACCCAAAAAAGAGCAGGTTTCATAAAACCCTCACAACAGTTCTCACAACAACCTCAGAGATGGGTCTAAGACAGCAGTTGCCAACCGGTGGTCAGCAGACCACTGGTGGTCCGTGAGGCCCGAAAGGTTGGCGACCGCTGGTCTCAGAGGTGGCCAGGCAAATAGCGAACATGATTCATCACAGAAAATGCCCCAAATCAGGAAACCATGCCCTCTAAGGCTGTTTGTAAGATTGTTTCGAAGGAGTTACTGATTGAGGAAAAAGAGGAGACCACCAGGTGATGGTCCTAGTGAGTGCTCAGTCTGTGGTGGACACTTGCTTGGTGCTTTGTAGATCGAACCATTCAAGGAAGTGTGGTTAGTATCCCCTCCTTTTCATTCAGATAGACCCCAGCTCTGATCTGCTCTGTGGTTAGGGCACTAGGAAATGGCAGCGCCAGGTGGAAGCTCTGAGCTGTCTCTTGTCTCTTCATTAGCAACATAAAGAGCATTGACAGCCCTGGCAGGTGGGCTCAGCTGGTTGGAGCATCATCCCCTGCACCTAAAGGTTGCGGGTTCCAGCCCCTGTGTGAGTGGATGGGAGACAACCAATCATTTATTCTCTCATACGCCGATGTTTCTCGCCCACCTCCTTCCCCTCTCACTAACATCAGTAAATCATATCCTGGGGTGAGGATTTTAAAAATGTAAAGAGCTTTGATAGTGTAGAGACTAGCCTGAGGGACATTTCACCTTGTAGTTAGTAATATAGTAGCTCTAAGTCCTGGTTTTCAGAGTCACAACAGCCACAATCTGGTCAGCGATCTGCATACCCTCTAACAAGCAAATTCTCATGCATATCAAGGATTTTCTATCTGAGTGTTACTTGCATTGATACCCTTTACAGCAAACTCTGGGAAATTAGGCTGTCTAGGCGGCTGTTTAACCCATCCTTCACTCCCTCGTTTCGTAACTCATCTCTCATATTTCTCCTAGTCATGCCTCGGATGTCTTGGAGACCTCGGGGTGGAAGGCAATGGTGGTGTCACATCCCCACTTGGTGGCTGAGGCATACCGCTCTCTGGCTTCGGCACAGTGCCCCTTTCTGGGACCTCCACGCAAGCGCCTGAAGCAGTCCTAAGATCCTGCCTGTGAGACTCGGTTTATTTTCCAGAAGCAGCAGCCACTGTGGCTGCCATTGACCACCAGGTAGACAGCGCAATCTGTGGAGCTTTGACTCTACTGTGGGGGGAAGACTGCATCTCGGCCCCAGACTTTTAAAACAGCACTAAGTAACCTTGGGGGATGGGGGGAGGGAAGGCCGGGACTCCGGCTGTTCAACCTAATGAAACCCTGTTGCTGCGTCACTGTGTTCCCTTTGGCCTGACCGAGTCTGATCCTGTGGGGATTCGGTTAGGCGCTGGCCCTGAGGACAGCCCTGCAGTGGTACTTGGAGAAATCTGTCTGCATCTAACTGAGCAGAACAAATCGTCAGGTGCCTGGAGCAAAAAGGAAAAAAAAGAAGGACCGTTAGTTTTAAGAGAAGGGGAAGAAGAGGAAACGAGAAAGGATTTTTGCAGAATTTCTCAAAGATCAGCTTGTGGATTCCAGTACTATTTATATTGAGAGAAATTTCAGTCCATCCAACTGTGCTAAAACTTGGATATTTGTGAAAACTTCTCACCACCATGCAAGTATCAGAAGAGCTCTCTTGTTGTTAGCACTTACTGTTTGCAAGAACAGAATACATTCTTTTATCCCTTTATGAAAAACGACAAGCGAAGGCGAAAGGGGAAGGAGGTTATTTGATCTGGAAGATGAGTGTTCTGATGTGGTGGCTTTTGCAAAAAATCTTTATTGGTGTTGGAAACTGGAAAAAAAATAATTCACCCAGAATTCATACTGTCTTGACAAGAACTATAGCTCTCTGATTTTAGATATTGTGGAAAATGTTTTTTTGGCATTTTTCTCCGATTTTATTTCTCCTTCCTCCCCCCTTTTCTAAAAAAAAAAAAAAAACAACAACAAAAACACAAAACATAAAAAGAAGAGAAAAGAAAAGGAAATTTTATTATTAACGCTGTGTGAAAAAAATCCCAGCCCCGATTGCTCAGCTGTTCTTACCTGCACCTGCATAGGAGCCAGTCCTGTTCCTTCCAATTCACTCCTCTTCCTACAGGAGAGAACTTCCAAATGTTAATTTTTTTTCTTTTTGAAAATATAAATAATGACTATTTTGTACTGTGTGGTATCTCTGGTCTTTCGTTTCACTCCTCTGATTGGTGTTTTGGGTCTGAGTTCCTTAAGGGATTTTGAAGGCCTCGTTTGATCTGCAGTTTGCAGAGATAATGTTGGAAGGCCTGAGCGGTGGGGTTTATTACATCTCCCTAATCTCAGGTTCCTTGGTGAGCTACCAGCATCTGCCAGTCTCTTGTCCTTGAAGATCTCACAATCCACCTCCTACGGGCGATCAGGCTCCTGCCTCAGCCAAGACAGGTAATGGAAGTGGGCTTTCTGCACCCTACACATTCTAAGACCTACTCTCAGTGTCCTCCCAGTGAAATATAAAAAGATCAAGGGGACATGAATGTGGAGATTAAATAAAGGGAAGTTATTATCTCTGATTGATTCTGTCACCGACTTGATGTGATAACTGAATTCCCAGCGAGCTCACAGGAATGCTCTGGGCTCCTCTTCTGCATTGGTCATAGCAGTGCGGGTCGGAAGGTGGGACACAGTGGGAAATGCATTGGCCATGTGGCCAAGGTATGTGTTATTTGACTTAGATGGAAACTCGACATATTTCATCTTCCAGTTCCCTTCAGTGACTTTAGCCTTTGCAAATATTCCAATTTTCATTTATCTTGCCACCCCTGGAATGAAGTAAATAAGATCTGTTATCAATATAATCAGAGACAGGATTTGCTTATTGGAAACCGACCAATCCATTGCACTCTTCAGTGTCCTTCTAAGCATCACCTGTGTGAGGAACCGCCCAGTTCTCCAAGTTCTGGCTGCTGTCCCTGTGCCGCCTCGGTCCTCACTCCCCAGATCAGCACACAGTTCCGGGGATCAGGGCATACACAGAGTCTCCTGCACCCACATTGTCCCTCAGGTGACTGCATTTGCTCAGCAATTCTCAAGTTTTCAGCGAACGTTCCATGCACAGTATCTCATCGGAACTTCCCAACAGCTTGATGTTTGGTGAGACAAGTGATAAATAGCATCTTCCCATTTTATAGATGAGAGATGTTGAAACCCAGAGAAATCACGTGACATGCTAAGATCACAGAACTGTTGAGTGACAGTTCTGATGTAGAGCCCTGAAAAGATGGTCAGTTACTGTAAGAAGTTTCTTCTCTGAAGTGTTTATGGATCTGAGGTGAAGCTTCCTGTGGGAACAGCAAGAGCAAAGCTCTGGGAAGGTGCCTTTGCCGCTTGCTCTCCAGAGGCTCCCGGAAGACAAACCAGACCGGAGATTTGCTTTTTCCTCACTCGGAGAGCAATGGGCCTGGGGCTGGTGAGTTCGAGGATATGTCCTCAGGGGCGGGGATAGCCATCCTGGCACCACGCTTCTGGCAGGAGAAGATCCCTTGTAGGATTTTTCAATCTTTATGGAATTTCTAACGTGGACTTGACTGAGGGTACAAAGCTGTTAGGATTTCAGGTCCTGGTGAAGCCACTCCGTGCCTCTCCTGTCATTATTACATTATTTCTGGATGTGTTTGTTTTTGTTTAAATGATACAGTTGAAGCCATCTGGTTGTGACAACATCAGAGCCCCAGCATACTGTTCGTAACCCTCCCACTGCCACCACCCCCTCCCTTAGCTCCCCCACGTCTGAAATTTAATTCAAGTTAACTCCACAATCTGGGGCATGTGCTGTCACTGCAGAGATGTCCATGCCAGTGGAACAGTTGGAGATTTCAATTCCACAAGGATATGGCTTATTTATCAAAACAATATTTCAGGCAAGCGGTTTCACAGCACCTTTGGCGTCGCGGTTTCCGGTCCAAATAAGAGTTTTCTGGCATCACTTCCCAGCTCCCCTCCTCCCCTGTGTTCAGCCCCCCTTTGTCTGGACATGGAGACAGTGAGCCATCCATGGAGAATCGTTCCCATTCCCTATGTGGAGATTAAACCTCCCTGTTGTCCAACAATTGGGCATCTCAAATGCCTTTAAGGGTTTTAACAATTTAGGGAAGAGATGCTGCTTTTCCTTATCGCTGGCAAGTCAGTTGGCTTTTAGGCCTTTGAAGAGATTCTTCTTTTA